CTGTAACAAACAGAGAATGTAATTTCTTTCCACAATGGAGAAAGGAATGATAGGAATTGCAAAATCTTCCTTAAATCTGACGATAATGCCAAAAGATAATACAGAGTCCGCCATTATCAGATGGATTACTAGTGATTTTCTGCCCACACTACGTGTGGGCTTTTCTCACCCTCTCGACAATGCACATATTATATCTTTGTCTATTTTGATAATTTAATTTTTTAAAAAATTAATAAGACACAATGGCACTTTTCATAAAATGATTGAATTTGAAGTATCAATCAACATAGTTAGAAAATACTTGTGACAATAGAATTGAAGGTATATGTGTAAAATGGTAAGTTAAAATAAATAAATTTGAAATTAATTACTTCTTACGGACCGAAATGATTGTTCATCATATTAAAAGCGAAAATTTAAATTAAAAAATTATTTAAATTACCAAAGTAGTACGGGTTCCTTTCTGAACATCATTCTCTAATTAAAATAAATAGAATTCTTGAGATTAATACAAAAAAGCAAAATTGATAAAGTAATCAGAAACCTATATAATAGAATCAATATATTCTATAAAAAGTGAAGTCCAAGAGAAAGAAAATGTTGAGGTGTCACATTGTGATTAAGAATTTTCTGCATAAAAACAGGTTCCTATTACAAATGCATATTAAAAGCAACCCATTCTATTGTCAAAGAGAGAATTTTTAATTATGTATTGCACTCTAATTAAACAATTTCTTGCCAAAATTTAAAAAAACGATATTGTTTATGTTAAAAAAATTGTTGAAACTTCGCTTATGAAATTGTGAAAAAAATTGAAACAAAACACTTTTCTTACATTTGAACTCAGTTACTCTAATACCAATCTCATTAAAGAATCCTAAAACTTCACGGCTCAAATTACAAAAAAAAAAAATCAATTAAGACATTCTTCTAATATTCAAACTCAGTCACTCTAATGTCATTTTTATTAAAAAAATATTAAAATCTCACGAGTAAATTATGAGAAAAATCCAAGTAAAACATTATTCTTATATTCAAACCAAAGGAAATTTTAAATTATAATAATATTAATGCCACTACAGTTTCATCATGTCTTTTTTTTTAAACTCATTTTTCACAGTTGGTTTATTTTTTGCATCATCTCTTTTTTTTATGTTTTATTTTAAAATCAACCATTAATGGGGTTTTTTCTTCACTACTAATAATCATAAGATACTAAGTGTTAAACCCGTCCGATGGACAGGGTAAACAAATACATATAGATATTATAATATAGATCAAGCAAAAGTATTTATTAGTTTTGGAATTTTATAAAAAAACAATATTGTTAATAAAATCTATAATGACTTCGTTCATACTGAAAGTATAAAACACATAAATCAAACATTCTATCGTATGAAAATGGTAATGATTAATTTAATATCAAGTGGAATGTCAAGAAATCATTAAACAAAATAGAATCAACTTTGAACTGAATAAACACATGTCTTGCAATGCTTCTTGTAGACTATATTTTTAGTCTTTGCATTGATATTTGTTGTGGTGCGATTTGGATTTATATGAGAACTACACACATGCAAACAAATAATAAAAATCTTATTTGCACGCACTCAAGACCCAAGAGGAAGCCCGTCCTTGTGTCGTGCAAATAAGGGTCGATCTCACGAAGAGGCTATTTCCGAAACTAGTGATAAATTGTGAGGGGTTGAGGAAAGAAATGATTTTACAAGAAAAAAAAATATCAAACTCACAAGCCAAGAGATATTGACGATGGAAATCAAGTAAAAAGAAAAAGAAAACAATACAAGGTAAGTAGGGGTAGGACAATAGGAAGGGCAACAAGGTTACTAGTGTGTTCCTAAGATGCGATGAAGGTTGTGTTCATTCAACCTAGCTATGTCAATAAGATTTTGAAGACTACGGAGCCATTGTCTTTTATACCCCTAACTTCTATTCTTAATTGTTAGAATTCAATGCTAGAATCTTCTTTCGATCTCATCTAGTCATTAGATTAAGTGTAGTGGTTTAGGCCCATGGATTCACTCTTTACACTTGGGTGTCGTAGAGTTACTACAATCTCAAGTGCAGGTGGTCTTACTTTCCAGGTAATCAAAAACTATACAAAAACCTGTAGCACACAAGCATGCATTTCATATTTCATCATTAGACTCAGGCAATAATTCATACAATATCACCGATGAGAGGTGTTTCATTGAGGGATGATGTTGCTTTTCTCTCTAGTTTATATGCCTAGTCCCTAGAATGGTATGAGTAACCCTCTATGCCTAGGTGACCTTAGCCAATTAGATTAAATCAATTAACATCTTCTATCCACTCCTTCATTATATTTATGCCTAAAGTAGAATTACAAGAGTTCCAATAATCAAGGTCCTACACTTATGGAGATAAAGAGTCATCCATAAATGCCCTAAAACATTCAATTCAAAGATATCATTCAACTTGTATGATATAACACAATAAGAGCTAATTATTGAACTCAAATCACACACATCTCATAGTTTACATGGCATAGATTAGGAGAAAGAACCATAAACCAACATCTACTTAGGAATTATGCAATATGAACACACATAATTAAGGATAAACACCATTCATGATAATATAAAGCACAAGTAAAGATTAAGAGATTGATGAGGAAAGCTTCCTTTTTCCAAGTAAAAGCTAAACCAAATTCCAAACATCTTCACAATTCCAAAACTTCATAGGAGAGTGAGAGAATTAGTATTTTCTCCCAAATCATGGACCTTGAACAAAAGCCTTAGGCTAATGTCCAAGCCCCTTGATTAGTTACATACTAAAAAAACTTAGTTTGAATCACAAAATATAAACCCTAGTTAAGAACTATGAAGCAAAGGAGAGAAAATATGCTAAGAGTTGTCTAAAATTGAACTAAAGAGGAGATTCCCCTAAAACTTGGTACAAAATGAGTATTTATAGGCAAAAGGGACGAATGGACTGAAGTGAATAAGTAGAAAATAGCAAGGCTGAATTAAAAGTCTTTCAAAGTTCGCAGTCAGACTGTTGGTACTCATTTGCATGACATTGGAACTTCTGGGCAGATTTGCACTAACGTTGACGCTTTTGAAATTTCAGACTTTCCCTGCAAATTCTCGGGAAAGGAGGGATTACGTTTGTAATTCTCGAAATTTTCTTTCTTCGTCCCCGTTTTGAGTCCACCGGCGGCACGGAGTTCGCTGATCGGAATGCCACCATTTCAGCATGACATTCAACAATCAAGATGCCAAAATCCTCCAAATTGTTATATCTTAGCATCCATTCAATTATTTTTGAGTTTTGATGCCAAAAATTTCCTCCTACTGACGTTGTTCTTCAAATTCATGCCGGATTTTATCGTCGCCGTCGGTTGACTTGATCTCTCTGATTGATGAACTAAAAAAAACAAAATAAACTCCAAAATTCAGCTCTTGATCTCCTCTATAACTTCTATTCATTGATTCAGCCTGCGGTTTGAGTTTTAATATCGAATTCAATGTGTTATATTGCAGCCCTTCTAAGTGTTTGCTGAAATTCAGGATTTCCAGCATTGAGAGACCAGTTTCATCGGTCTTTTTCACCTTTCCCCAGTAAGAATTTGGATCTTATTTCTGACTATGATTTGTAGCTCTTTTATCCAGCTTTGCAACCATATAAAGATCTTCCAAATCCGAGCTGTAAATGTCATGTTATGGCCTCTGAAACAAGGTTGATCGTTGCTGAAGTTTCTGGACGTGGCAAATAAAATCCCACATGTAATAAGATTTACTTTGGCTTTTGTTTTTTTGTCATTGCAAAACAAATTGCCCAACAAAATTTCCTCCTCCTCTTTTTAAAAGGATACTAGTTATCTACTGGAAGAGAATAATTTGCCTGAATTCCAAGCTTCTGATTCTGCAAGCACGGCATCAAGCTCTGGATCATCATCTTCATTGTCATCTGTGGGAAGCGTCTGGAGTGCTACTAGTAGTAGTCCCGTTCCAACTGCGGAATCTTTCAGGTCCACAACTGAGGTACTATTTCGATTGCGGGGGAAAAGGATTGATGTTAATACCATTTCATTTAACTTGTACATTCTAGACAAGAGAAGCCTTGTAGGCAAAAGCTTTGAGTTCGACTTCGATCTTAAGGCTGATGATGCACTTAAAGTCGCCCTGGAGATGGTTGATGGAGACGAATTGAGCTACCACCAAGTGCCAATCGCTGCTGAGTTGATTGATTGTGTGGTTTTGGAGCTCGAGCCAAATTGGATTACATGCCCTGGATTTCATCATGAGCTAGATGTTTCTTCTGGATGCAACGACCTAAGTTCAACCCAACAGATTGGGGTTGTGGTACATTAAGTTAGTAGGTAATCAATTAAGCTGTGAATTAATGTCTTAGCAGGTTAAGCAATTGATATTCATTTTGCAGGCTTGCCTTTCTGTAACAAAAACGATTCTTTTTTCACTTTATTGTGATGCATTTGGTTAACTAATGTCTATTCCTTTGCTTTCAAGATTTTGCTCTTCTACTTTTGATTGTGAAAAGTGATAGATGAATGGACTCCAAATTCATTTGGTTAACTAAATGTCTATTACTTTTTTTATTGTGAAAAGATTTTGTTACAGTTACTGTGATACTGTATGGATTATTGAACCTGATTTAGGCCAACATGACGATGTGCAACCTTGTCCTATTCAATTTCCGGTCAATGCAACAAGTTGCCATGTCTCTTGACTTAGGATTTTGGTTTACAAAACATGTTGCCTACTTGCCTCAAAGAATCCATCACCAATTGTCTCGCATAACACTCTGTCCTCTGCTCTTTACCTCATATAACAAACACGGACAGACAGATAAAATAATAGAAAATGATAAGTCAGACTGACAGGTTCATAAATCTGGAGTTCCATATAGTCTTTTTTGTCAACAGAAGAATTTCATGCTTCCTCGATATGGATTGGCTATCAGAATATCATTATCATCGCATCCAGAACAAAATCCTACTCGTGATGCTGATGCTGTTGGAGTAGGACGGGAAGATCCTTCTCAGGCCTAGGACCTGGGAGATATATTATCTTTTCATCAGGAATTCGTTTTCTGAATCTAAATTTTGACACTACATTATACGTGAATACGAGCATAACAAATTTGGCGAAGTCCTTTCCAGGACACATTTGAGTCCCTCCACCAAAAGGCACATAGCTGCTTGGTAGCAACCCGTCTCGATCATATCTTTCGGGATCAAAAGTCTCCGGGTTCTGGAAACACTTAGGATCTTTGTTTGATGTAAATGGACTCCAAAGAATCTGAAACACATGAATAAGGTTGAATTTTCACCATGTTTAAATTTCAATTATGTTAAACTGATGAACACTATGTAGAAAATTTGCATTTATTTATTTAATTTTTTTGAATTGGTAAATTACATTAACTATGCACAACTCATTCACCAAATTCTTCTGTATTACAAAGAATTTACTGAATCTCATTGTGGCAATAAGGCTCTCTATCTCAATCGTAAAGTATGCGATTTGACTATTTGAGGAACAGATGAAGACATGAAAAAGAAAAAAAAAACACAATATTCACCACACATTTAAATTGGTTACCTTCCATCCTTTTGGAATTGTGTAGCCTGCAAAGTTGAGGTCAATTTTGGCCTCTCTGAAAGTCCCAAAGGTAGGAGGTATTAGCCTCATTGCTTCACATATCACATTCCAAGAGTATTTCATCTGTTGCACATCTTCCCAATTCAACTTCTCTTGCGGAGATTTGGATTTGGCAATGTTCCTATGTTCTAACCCAGAAAACAAAAATTAATTTTCAGAATAGCAACACACACATATCATATAGAGTGAAAAGCCAAAAGACTTTCAATTTTCGAAATTTATATAGCTCTCCATCTTCGTAGGTTAATGCATTTCTTTCCAAATCACCATTAATTCTAGATAAATAAATGTTATTGTCACATCATTTTTAATCTCTATATTCTACTCTGCCAGTCATCTAAAAAAAGAGTGAAAGCAAGCGAAAAATTACCTCTGTAAAGAGCATCATACACTTGAGGAAGCTCAGAGAGGTACTTGAAGGTGGTGATGGCGGCTGTGATCCCTTCATAACTTGAAAGTAAAAAGCTGATAAGATTATTGACGATTTCCATGTCTGACTTGAAATGGGCTTTTCCCTCCAACAACATTCGAGACAGTATGTCCACAAAACCTGATCCAGCCTTTTCCCTTTCCTTCAACTTTGGAATCATCTTTTTCCTAGCCTCCACAATCTTCAACAGCTCCAATTTCAGCTTTTTCCCTTCTTTAATTGAACGATTAAAAGGTGTCCCTGGTAAATTAATCAGCACGGCTAATAATCCCGGCATCGTACGTTTGAAGAGCTCAGAAACTATCCCTACTTCACCAGGATATTCTAAGCCTAAAAGTAACTTGCAAGCCATTGAAAGCACATATTTTTGCGTCGAAGCATAAACCGTGACTTTGGTAAACGGTAACCAATCCGAGTTTAGATATTCGCGAGCCATGGAATCCACAATCGGTATGTAATGTTTTAAAACATCGTACCTCAGGATTTCATGAATGAAACCACGACCTTTCGTGTAGGATTCTCTGTTTAAGCGGCCGTTTGAATCTAACGAATCGAACAGTTTCGCGACCGGATATGGGAAGAACGGAAGAATGAAGTCCGAGCATTGAAGAATGCGAATTTGTTACCAGGTGGTCCACAAACGACGACCATTTTTTCTCCCAACAAGGAAGTTTTGAATACTTGTGCAGAGTATTTTTTCATTCTCTGCGCGATGAATTTTTCGGGTCCAAGAATGCTGAAATCGATGGTTTCTCCAATTATCGGATACCCGGTTGAACCCGGTGGGACGTTTGGATTATTATTAGAGTAACGCCTGTTGAGGAAAACTATGAATAATGACATCATTAAAATGACTATGGGAGTGAAAAAGTAAAGAGAAATGGCATCCATGATTGTTTTCTAATTTTTTTTTTTTCACATGAGAGATGCTGCTAGAGAAGATGAGCTCTGAGAGTGAGAAATGAAATTCTTTGGAGTGTAATTAAATTGGTGCAGTGAATACAATCCTCCCAAAATATCATAGGGAATGTTGATTTAACTTAAGAAAAAAAAATCCAAAGGGTAATAAATGATGGTATTAAAGTTTAGTAGTTACAAAACAATAAAAAGTCAAAGACTCACTGTCACAAGATATAGCACAACAAATGCAAGTGTTTTGGCGTTGTATTGCCCAACGTCCGCTGCTATATTCATCCCAAAGGTCATTTCCCTTGCAATGGAGGTTAAAGTTGAAACCCAGGGGGATCTAGTAGCTCTGTTAAATGTTCTTCTGAAATTCCGGGACATATTAAGATTTGACTTTAGATGATGCACAAAATTTGTGGCATCCTTAACTACTTTCACTTTTGTGAAGAACTCCTTCATCATCACCAAAGATACTTTGTCACCTGTCACCATTCATCTGAACAACATTAAACTCAGGAGATAGTTTTCGGAAGTCAATGAGAATTACCTTTCAAGTCCGAGATTACACTCTTAATTCTGTCAATGCACTTTTCATAATTACAGACTCCGCCAACCTCTAACCTCAGCAGGCACTTGTCACAATTTGTGATCCACTCACATCCATAAGATTGATCCTTCCTGTCATTTCTGATCCACTTAAAACTTCCACGGCGTTTGTTGTTCAGCCAGAAGAAAAAACCATAAGCATCATTAGCATTTGGAATCACTTTGTTTCTTCTAGGACATTTGTGCTCCAACCATATGCAATGAATGTGGACATGCGCAACGTCTTTTTCTTCGGATGTGAATGATCATAGGACGTATGGAGATGTTCAAAGTTCAAACTCTTGGCCAGGATTTCGATCAAGGAACATTGGAACAGAAAGTTGAGGATCGTCGATTAAATTATATTGACTCACAACTCAACAAACGAAAACAAACATAAAACTGATTTTCGTCAACTTTTTAATCTTGTACATTATATCGACGATAAAGTCGACGAAAAAAAATGAGGTCCACCGACTTTAACGTCGGGTTTATCATCTCGACAAAAAAAGTCGACGAACAGCATAAACCAAAATATTAAGGTATGCCGACTGGGGCGTCGAGATCAATAGCTTGATGTCTAAGTCGACGACCAGAAATAAACAAAAAAAAGTGAGGTTTGGGGACTAGGTCACCGAGTTCTTAATCTCGACATCTAAGTCAAGGAAACAAATAAAAAATGACAAACTTGCATTCTGTCATCTTTGATTGTCAATATATCTATACATCAAGTTTATTTTTATCCTCTGGATCATCGTACACTTCATCTTAACCGTTAAGCTGGCATAAATACATATTAGTGGACGAAAAACTTTTAAATATCAAGTTGAGTTTTGGTGAATCAGCCATTGGCGTCTTTACCCTTTGATATATATATAAGTTGACTAAAATTCTTAAACATCAACTTGAGTTTTGGCGACAAAGTTATCAGAATGATGGCACCAAATCTGGAAGTGATTCCGTTTTCCCCCTCATTTGGTCAATATAGATTGCCATAAGGACTCCTCGTTGCATCAATCGTCCACAATGAAAATTCAAAACAGGACTTGGATAATGGCAGCTAATGCCGCCATGGGCTAAGCAGTTTAAAGTCTTTTGTATCTTTAGACAAGGCAAGATTTGCTTTCATGTATTGCATAGCACTCTTCCCTTAAAACAAGAGTACAAAAGTTTTTGAACCAAAAGTTCTTGCAATTTGCACACGTGTTTCAGCTAGCTCTACTTGTTCTAAAAACAATACCAAAGTACTGCAATATGCGTCAATCCATAGTGACTAGCTTAATTTCTTTGATAAAAATTACATAAGTATATCATTCTCAGTGTTGTTGAAGTAGCACTTGAAGGCCATTTTCAGGCCTAGGACCTAAGATGTATACAATCTTCTCATCAGGATTCAGTTTTTTGAACTTAAATTTTGTCACCACGTTATACATGAATACCAGTATCAGGAATTTGGCGAAGTCTTTTCCAGGGCACATCTGAGTTCCTCCACCGAATGGTGCAAAGCTGCTCGGTTGTAACACATCGCGATCATGCCTTTGGGGATCGAAAGTCTCTGGATTTTCAAAGTACTGAGGATCTCTGTTTGTAGTAAACGGACTCCAAAGAATCTGAAACACATTAGCCAGGAACTTCTCATCATTTCTCAATGTGAAACTAACGAGAAAAAAACACATTAATCATCCAAAATCGTCGTGTATATTACAAATCATTAAGAAGAGCTTTAGTACTATCATTTTACCTTCCACCCTCTTGGAATTGTGTACCCTGCAAACTTGAGGTCAATTTTAGCCTCTCTGAAATTCCCGAAGGCAGGTGGTACAAGCCTCATAGCTTCACGTACCACGTTCCAAGAATATTTCATTTGTAGCACATCTTCCCAATTCAGCGTCTCTTCTGGAGATTTTCCCTTGGCAATGTTCAGATGTTCTACAAAAATAAATAAATAAATAAATAAAAATGATTCATCCTGATTTAAAAAAAAAAATTAAATGGTCCCAGCAAAAATCAAACCCTCGACTTCCTAGTAAACCACCACGAGGAATTAATCAGGACAAAGCAAAAAGAATTAAACGTACCATTGTAAACGGCATCGTACACATGAGGAAGTTCGGCGAGATAATTTAAGGTAACAGTGATGGTGGCTGTGATCCCTTCATAACTTGGAAGTAAAAAGCTGATAAGATTATTGACGATCTCCATGTCTGCCTTGAAATGGTCTTTTCCTTCCAACAACATTCGAGACAATATGTCCACAAAACCTGATCCCGCCTTTTCCTTTTCCTTTAACTCTGGAATCATCTTTTTCCTGGCCTCTACAATCTTCAACAGCTCCAATTTCAGCTTTTTAACCTTTTTAATAGAACGATGGTAAGACGTCCCTGGAAAATTAATCGGAACCGAAAACAATCCAGGTATCGTTCGTGTGAAGAGCTCAGAAAAATCTCGCACTTCATCAGGATCATCCAATCCCAGAAGCAACTTACAAGCAAGTGAAAGTACATACTTTTGGGTCGAGGGATAAACAGAGACTTGGTTAGATGAAGCCCAATCTTTGTTTAAATGTTCAAGGGCCATGGAATCCATAATCGGGATGTAGTGTTTCAAAGCTTCGTACCTCATGATTTCGTGAAGAAAATGGCGGCCTTTGGTGTAAAACTCCTTGATTAAACGGCCATCTGAGTCCAACCAATCGAATAGCTTCGAAACAGGGTATGGAATCCAGGGGAGAAGGAAGTTGGAGCCGCTGAAGAAGGCGAATTTGTTGCCGGGCGACCCACAAACGACGGCGACTTTCTCCCCCAACATGGAGGTTTTGAATACTTCTTTGGAGTAGTTTTGCATTCTCTGGGTGATGAATTTTTCGGGTCCGGAGAGGCTGAAATCGAAGGTTTCCCCGATGATTGGGTACCCGATTGAACCCGGTGGGAGTTTTGGATTGTTGGTGCAACGCTTGTTGATAAAAGCAAGGAATGATGACACTAATAGAATGAGTAGGAGAGTGAAGAAGTAAAGAGAAATGAGATCCATGGTTGTTGGTTTTGTTTCTTCTTATTTTCCTGTGATGAACATTTATAGGGAGATGCAGGAGAAGATGGCCTGTACCAATAACAACCAATACAAAGAATACTTTTTATATTTTTGCATAAAACTAGGTTTTTTAATGCCCACGATAAGCGTGGGCATTTTTAAAAAGTAATAAAGCAAACTTAAGAAACATGTTATATTATATAAATGAAGCAAATGATATAATAACAAACTAAAATTACTCTGAAATTTAATAAACGTCTGTATGACTATGATGTTTTGGTATCATTAAAACTTAATTGGGAAAAGTCAAGCTAAAAGGTTAATTAGATTTGGAAACTAAGATATGCATCAAAAGAGTCGTACTATGGGAAATTTTTTTTTAAGAACAAATTATACTTTTGATTTTACAGGTTTAGATTTTTCACCTACATGTAATAGTTTAGAATGTGAGACATTTGTCTCTTTTATTGTAGAAAAAGTAATGCTAATATCGGATGTTCTAAATAACATTATAGAAGTAATTCATATCAAGATGTGATAGAAGTGTCTTTTTTATCGGGTTTTGCACTAGATTTTTTATTAAATGAAAAGAAAAAGTAGTTTTTTAACAAAAATTATTGGCTAATATTTCTTAAGGAGAATATTGAGAACAAAAAACATGATGATCTAAATTTAGTTCTCACCTTGACGGGTTTAAGAAAAATAAAATTTGACAAGTTACAATAAAACGCATGACTTTTTATTTTACTTTTTATCAAAAGAAATTAAATGAACCAATAACTAAAGTAGAGATATTCATGAAAAAAAAATATTGGAAGCTTCTCATGTAGATTCCAATCATCCCCCCTTTACAGTATGTTAGATACAGAAGACAAGTAGAGTAGCGGAAATTAAATTTTTTTTCTGTATGAAAGTGTTAATTTTTTTGTTGGCTCATTGATTTTTATGTAGTTCTAGATCTAAACACAAAAAATGATTAGCATGACAAAATTGACACAAACATGGCTAAGTTCATAAGTAGTATACAAAGAGGGGCCAACGACTAAATTACTATTAATATTTTATTACATTTCCAAATAATGTCAATCGGGTAGATCACAACTATTTTATTAGAAGCAATTCCCACCAATGTTGAAAAATACTCCATTCGGGTAGATCATCTTTTAAATATCAATGCCAATTTTATCGATTCTTCTTGTTTTTTTTTAGCAATGATAGGAAAAGCCCACCCGTAGGGTGGGCAGAAGATAACTAGTTTTTTATATACAGAAGGCAGAGCCATCGGATGTAACCAGTTAACTATTCAGGAGAGGCTATGGAGGGTGGGCCCATGATGACATGACTCTCCTCATGGGCTTGTCCTTGGACCACTCGCATCTTTTCTTATCAGTTTTTATCAAACAAGAAAAATGTATATTTTCACACATCATTTGAACACTTTATTGATCATCACTCTTTTATTACACTCACACATTTTATTGGTGATTTTAAGTCATTTTTCTAATCTAGTAAATCACTTTTACAATCATAAGTAAACAATATGAAAAAAGGATCTATATTATACACTCTCTGTCCCATAATTATTATCCAGTTTGAGTTTTAATTTTTAGTTCAAATTGTACTAAAAATAAATTCTCAAACTGGACAATAATTTTGGGATAAAGGGAGTAGTTTGATAGTAAAGTTAGAATGGAATCTCTTTTTTTTTTTTTTTCCTTTTTAATAAAACAAGGGAAAAAACTTTGATATGCAGCTAATATAAACTCTTTGTTTACTGAATATGGAAAATAAAGTATAATCTAATGTGCAGCTAATATAATCTAATCACGTGCCAAAAGGGTGGAAATGCTTAAGCCTTAAAAAAGCCTTTGTAGGCTTAAACCCTCAGTAGAGCTGCAGAGAATACAGTCAACTCTCAACTCTTCTTCCTCCACCATCAATGGCGGCTACAAACACACAGTCAACTCTCTTGGTCACTTGAATTTGTTCCTTTCAATAGCATCAAAGGAGTTCACAGTAAAACAGATCATCATCCTTGGTATCAGCATTGGTTTTATTCAGAAATTTCCCCTAGAACATAGGCATTTGTTGGAGTTTGCTCTGTTAATCTTTGGCGTCTTCCCCAATTTCATTGCCATAATCTTAATGCATGATGCTCAGTACTATTGTTAGATTTGTTGGTGACCATAATCTCTTGCATGAAGCATTCCTGTGGGAGTATAGCTGATCCTAGATATGGCTGACCCTACATCCTGGGGATATTGGCTGTGTTGTCCCTTTCTTTTCAGTTTTTGTTTAATTTTTTTGTTTTTTATTTCTTTCTAATATTTTCATAACTATAAAAATATACTATATGATCTTTTAAAAAAAATTATTTATTTTTAAACTCTAATGTACAAATTTATAATTTGATATTTGTAAGTTGTGTTTAATTTACATAAACATATTATTTTTTTAATAATATGATTTAACGGTAATGATATTATTTTTTTAATTCATTTTTTTCAATTTAAAGAATAAGATTATTTAACTAAAACTAATTTTGCACAAAAAAATAACACGTGTAGCATAGATTAAAAAAGAAGTTATTGGTATACTGTAATGTATTATAATTTAATTCACCAGACTTTAGATTGTATCATAAAATTTTAAAAATAATTAAAACTAAAATATAAATTTTTCTGTAAAAGGCCAAGTACGAAAAGAAAGTAAAAAAAAAAAAAAAAACCTATTTCATTTCTACATTGGCCCAACACAAGAATATAGTGTCATGGCATTTACAAAAATGGTACAAAACATCTATGTTTATCATTGCGAGGGTTTAACATTTTGTATAATATTTTAAAATATTAATATATCTAACTTTAGCAGAAAGTCTTTTTTTTTTAAGAAAAATAATATAAAAAAAATCTATTCTAGTACTGGACTCCACCTTTTTTTAAAAAAAAAAAAATAAGATTGCCCCAGTGAGAATCGAGATATCGAACACAGTAATTTTATCTTATATCCTAAATCACCTGACCATCTAACCATCTCGCCTTTTGTGGATCCTGCTTAAATATGGATAAAATTACTCTCCCAGTTAGAAATCCTTTGGTGAGACTTAATCTTATATCTACTCTCATGAAACAGAAAATTTGGCCGATTATTTTTTAATTTATGCTAAATTTTTTAATTTTTTGTAAAAAAATTAGTTTTAGTTAAAAAAAAATCTTATTCTTTAAATTGAAAAAAATGGATTAGAAAACTAATATCATTATTTTCTAGCCATAGTATTAGAAAAATTAATATGTTTATGTAAATCAACCATGAATTACAAATATGTATATCTATAAATTTGTGCAGTATTGTTTAAAAATAAATTTTTATTCTAAAAAATCATATAGTATATTTTGTTATTTTTATAAATTTTTAGGATTATTTTTATAATTTTTAAAACTATTAGGATATTTTTGTAATTAAAACTAACAAAAAATCCGTTAATTTAAATGAAAATTAGCAAATTGGATAAAATCGGCTAACGGTTGAATAACTTATGGTAATATTGGCTAATCGAAAAAGAATATGATAGAATTGACAATGCATGTAAAGGTTAGAGTAGATCGACTAATTTTTCCAATATTTTTCTGCTGGAGATGATAATTTAAATTCATTTGCAGCAAAATAGGGGAGATGATAATTTAATGGCGATGTTTGAATCAATCAAATATTGTCATCCATTTAGGCATAAAATTAGCGTTGACTTATGCAAAAGTTTTCCGCCGATTAACATAGTACTCCTTTGGTCATTCATGCAAAAGGATGTAACTCCTACTTAAATCAAACTTACTTGGGATTTAAATTTTTTGATGGTTGGTCAATGAAAAGGAAATTCGAGCTAAGTTTAACTTCTTTCATCTCAAACATACAATCGTGATTCTTATTATGGGACGAAGGAAATAATTAAATTAGTACAAAATGTTCTTCAACTTTTGACTCTAAGTATCGTTTCCATTTTCGCAGCTTATTTAGCATCGGTGTCATATTAATCCAGTTTGATTCTACTGTTTTTAAATTCAAGTTCAGAATTATTCCTTCCTTTTCAAAACTATTATTATTTTTGTATAACCTTGACTAAACTTTCAAGACCAAGGGAGAACTTATCAAAAACCAAACAAAATGTTTTTCAAGGGTGAAAACAAAACTGATACCAGAACAAAAAAAAAAAATTAATTCAACAACGAGCAATATATATATATATATATATATATATATATATATATATGGAAGATTCAAAGTGCCTAGTATGTTTTATGTATGTATATAAATAAGATACTGCCGACTACAAATAACATTTTTGTTCGTGTGGATTATTACGCCAACAATTGATTGGTTGATTTCTTTTCACTTCTTTTACGACAAATTAATTAATTTAGGATTCATTCATGATATTGCTCAAAGTAAAAATGACACTGTAGAGGCATTTACGTTGAATCGTTTAGCGCTACCTCAAAATATAAGATATGTAAAATATTAAAGCACGTTATAATGATAGCTCCAAGTTTTTCGTCACGTTGATTTTAATTGTTTTGTTTTGTAAGTGTATTTTGTTTGGTTTTGCTATTATTTGAGGATTTCATATCCACGATGTAATAAATTTCTATCGAGAAACTTAATCTTTGTAATGAGTTTTGAACTCTCCTCCCATTCATGTGGAATAAAAAATCGAACCTTTTATTCCAAAAAAAAAAAAAAAGAAAAGAAAATGATACTACATGCATATTGGGTCTCTTTTACAACTTACAATTCTCATTCTCAAGTATATTCACCAGCTATATTTTTTTATTTAAAAAATCTATCCCAATAGACTCCACTTAAATGTGGGTAAAAACACCCTCTTACAACTCCTGGTGAGAATCGAACACTGGTCTATTACTAAAAACGACAGCAATCTAACCACTACACAGTTATTCAATTCCCTATCCACCTGCAAAATTTATATGACACTTCTTCTTAATTTTCACTTCGTATTATACTGTATTTCCACCCAAAAAAGAAATAACTCTGTTAAACAATAACACAGAATAAGAAACGAGCGACTCTTTTTTTTTAACAGAAAGAGAACCATGTTTATATCACATTTCTCAAGTATAAGAAAACACTTAGGATATATCCAAGCGCGTTATAAGAAAATACGATATACTGATATACATATTGCATTTTTTACAACTTACAATTTCTCATTCTCAAATATTTTCACTCACTATATTATATGACATTTCTTATTAATCTTCACTTCATATTATATACTATCTCCATGTAAAAAAAAAAAAAAAACTGTGTTAAAATGTAACACATTTAAGAAATGTACGGGGTTTTTTTTTTTTTTTTTGAACGGGAAGAGTACCATACACACAAGAATTATTATCTATTTGAATAAAGATTACCAAATCAATTTAACTATTGAGATCAAAGTCGATATTTCTAGAGGATGAACCCCCTTAAAAGCCTTTTACGTATGAAATTGAAAATCCCAAGTGATGGGCAAATTAAATGGGACTATAAATGTTCCAAGTTGGATAATATAATACCATGTGCCACTCAACTCATATGTCTCCAGCCCCCACATTAGAAACTTATCATTTAAATACACAAAAATTGGCCAAAGACAAGAAAGAGCACCACCAGCTAGCTCTATTTAAATTCATTTCACCATTGGAATTGATATCCAGAAACTGATTCATGACTTATCAAACTGTAACTTTAACTCGGCCATATTTATCAATTGTCACACTTGTTAATTAATTTATGTGTTTGGTTATTCCTTCTTCTATAGTATCAGGGAAAAAAAAAACTCCGATTTGTTTCGGTCAAGTGAATTAATTCACTTGCCCATATCGAGTTTCATTTATGGAGGATTCGAACAGGCAACATGCAGGATGGATCTAAGCTAAAAAGTGGCAAAAAAAAGAAATCATTTTGTGCATAGTTAGAGTCATGTTGTGCATGTATTATGTGCCATTCAATGCAACTTCTTTGGAATCTATTGCCCACCTCCGCGAACCATACAGAAAATAGAACAGCCAACATGCAAATATGTACATGGAATCGCACTAATTTCATTGAAGTTATGTATCCGCTTAATTTTATACTACTCCCTCCTTCCTACAGAAATAGTCCTTAGACTATTTTTTTGGACGAAGGTAATACTAGTTGATTAACATCTTTTTAAATTGGGGTAGCTAGTCATATATAGATATATATATATATATATTTATCTTCTAAGCATGGGAGCAAAGCATACTTCTTGCATATTTAATTTTCATATGTACTATATCAATCTGATTGAAACTTTTCGGTGATGGTACTTTGGGATATAATGGTCTATAGTTTAAAGTATAAAGAAAAATAGTTAATTCTTCTGGATCGTAATGAATACTTCATAACGTTAATATGTTACCGATTCATGAATCATTTTTGCCTTTACTAATAATAGATTTTATCATTGTTGTGAATATTAGACATCATGTGTTTGATCTGATGGACCCAAATCCTGACCCGACATTATAAATGCTTTCCTTGGCATGCTTTTACATCTTACTACAATGTTAGTTCTCTTTCCCCCCTAAAATAAATAAATTTTCTTCATCGGATTGATTTTAACTCAGGTTGAACTGTAAATTCAGGACGCACAAATACATTTATACAAGTAACTCATAGGTTAAAAAAAGTATATATAGATTAACCTCAAACTCAAAACCGTAATAAAAAATATACAACTTTCCATCTATAAATTAACCTATACTACATATAATCAGGCTTGATATTATGTTCGAACTGGATATCACACAACCCCTTCATTTCCAGCCAACATCAAGTACTTATCTTTCCTTGTTAAACTAGTGCATTCAAACCCCAATGCCTTGCCTATTTCCGTTTGTACAAAATTAGCAACTTCATACCTTGATTTGCCCCCAGCACCAAATGATTTCGACGCCGGCAACGGATCCAAAAACTTGATGGTGTAGGTTGGATGCGGGTTCAAGAGGAAGAACAATGGATCAAAGCATTTTAGGCCACTGGCGGTGGTTCCATAAAACATGCTGAATTGCATGTCAAGTGCCACAGGGACAATATCATCAGTGAGTTCAGCAAACAAAGGGCTAAACCTCAGCAAATATGGCTCCCTGCAAGTTGTCCCTTCAGGGCACACCACAATATTACTTTCCTTGAGCATTTCCTTCATCATTTTCAAATCACTTTCCCTATCCCTCTTTAGCCTTGTCGTCTTGATCGGCGATATCATCTCCGAAACTCGGCTCACGCTGTAAGTTACCGCGGTTACAGGCTCCATAAGTGCCATTGAAACGTAAACCGGATCAAGAAGTGTCCTGTGGTTGCACACATACACTGTTCCACCAGATTTTTTCGCTCTTTCATTGGCAGATGAGTAGCTCACTTTCCCTTGTATACCCGAAAATGCGAAAATCGGGAGGGCAATCCGGCATGGTAGGAATAAGGCAGCACATGCTCTTACAATGCAGAGGAAAATCCCAAATGGAAGCCAAAGAAACATAAGAGATGTAGCGTAAAATGTTGGCCTGAAAGCCAATCTTCCATCATGGAAAATCAGCTTCCTTGGATATTTGTGTCTTGGAAGATTATGCCACTTCCTTTTTTCTGATTTACTTACCAAGTAAATCTCCTGTTGCAAAATAAGAGACAAAAAAATAGAGTCAGGCCAAAGGATTATTGTCCATAATATACGATCATAAGTCAATTTCACAAAGAGACAGAAAGTGAAAGCTAAACAATAATACATCATCATAATTATTATTTTGTATTTGTCACTAACCTTGCAATGAGAAAAGAACTCTTGACTTAAAGTTTTGCCAAGGCAACCAAAACCAACAAGTGAGTTAATCTTTTCCTCTCCATTAATCTGATTCAATGAATCAATATAACCATTTCTTCTTTCCTCCATGCAACCAACGTAATATCCATAACACACCTTCATTTCTCTTCCCATAACAACATCAACTCCCAAGAAATCCTTCAAGAATCCTTCAACCATAACATTAGGCAAATCGCTAACTCCGATTTTCCTACCGTGCCTCATCAACACCTCAAATCCTTCGTAGCCGACATCTTCCAAGAAGAATTTAGGCAGAACTGAGCTCCCAACCCGGCATTTGTTCTTCTTGATCCCGAAAAAAGAAACAAACACCATCATCTTGATCCTGATTTCTTTAGGAAACAAACAAATAAAAGGGTAGGCTAGAAAAAGTAAAACAGCCCTTATAAGGCTGCCAGCTTCAAAAGCAACCAGCATGAAGTAAGGGAAGAGAGAAGATGATCTAAGAAGTGCATCTTCCATGTGAAACACTAATGTCTCATTCCGACTATTATTATCTGATTTGGAAATAAAAGACGAATATTTCCGAAGTTTTGGCTGCAAATCATGAGGGAACCAAAACTTCTTCTGAAGAGAATGATGCACATTGCTGAGGCTTCTTAACAGGAACTTAGACCAGAAGAAAAGAACTTCAATGGTGAGCATGAAGGAAAAGATGGTTTTTGGGGTAAACATGATGCTGGTGTCCATGTGGGTTTTGTTTTTTTTTTTCTGTGTATTCTTAACTAGGAATAGAAAATCGACATGTATTTATAGAAAACGGACTTGCCAAAAACTCTTAACACACCATTAATTGTCTGAAGAAAAAACAGTTTCCAGCTAGTTGTAAAAAATGGACCTTAATTGAAAACTAAGTCAAACCCATGTCAAATTTGTCCGTTTGACCAAATATCATCATTTTTTTGTTCTTGTTCAACTTTGCAAACGCGGGAAGTATTGTCCAGTTTACAGCTGCAAATGTTTCGTATGAACACACTTCCGTTTCCGACGAATACAAGCGATAATTTTGTTATAATACGATACGAATCAAACTTTAAAATTCTACTTATTTTTCATAACAACATTGTAACATATTTTTTACGGGATTTCTATAACCCGATTATCATTTATCCCTACAAAATTATCAAAGTCTATAAACAGTAGTTAGCCTGTCCAAAAATGTATAAAATTTGTTCTAAAACTATTACAAATACATTGTAGCAATGATTGGAACAACGACTAAATTAAGTAAGTTTGATATTGCTTAACAACAAAAGCCATATGGTTGGGACAAAAATCAAATTTGTAGAAAACATTATTGAGACTGACACGAAGTTCCCCACCATTGTTGAATGTAGTTGTTGCATAGAGAAGGCTGACATGTATTAAATGTTTTTGATTTAAAAAACACGCAAATATACAGTGTTTTTTAGAAATTATCTTACCTACCAAAACACCCAGATAAGCAGACAACAGAACTTACTGGATGACAAATTTTACCTTTTCCCCAAGTAAAATGCATGCATGCAATGCAATCATTGACGAAATAGTGAATACTCCATAACCTCACTTATATATCTACATACATTTTATTTTTAATATCTTAAAGTTTTTCTTTGTATAACAGAATGAAATTAAATTAACCCGAAATGCCATGCAAATTATAAAATTGATACCCTTATTCTTATTATATATATATATATATATATATTTTTTTTTTCCATTTTCAATTTTAGCTTTAATTCTCTTAATGTATAGATCGTTCGTCCCCGGTTCCTCCCTTCCCCGGCCACCGGTGTGCCCCATTAACCCCACCTTCCCCGGTCCGGCAAATCACTCCTTGAGATCTGATCAAACATTGCCAGATGTTCACCAGCCTAAAAGAAACTCAGCAGATCATGTTCTATATTCATGGTGGAAAATGACATTTGGCCTAACAAAACTGTTTACAACGAAATCATGCATGCAAATGATGCTAAGTTTCAAATTTAGAATTGTATCAAATTATTACTTGCACACAAGGATTTCAATCAATCATATAATAAAATATACATTATTGTTTTGAATAATTGGATATAAAAAAAATATGTTGTCCAAATAATGTTTATACGCACTTTCTGAAATAAACCCTAGTCCTATAGGCCACTCTTATAAAAAAAAATTTACTCCCACATCCTTCCAAAATAATTCTCTATTAAGCTGCTGTGTATTTATAATATTAGGTGCAAACGCACATATCAGTTTAACTTTGAATTATTTGTTATGTTTATTAAGAGGACAGGAAGGAATAATCATGTTTGTAAAATTAAAATAATCTTAAAACTTGTATGATTGTCAAAGAACGTAAAGGGTATTTACGTATTTGTGCATGGAATTAATGTGATTATTGACTAGTTGCTGGTACAACTAATTAAACCACTCGAAGTCAGCTATTAAGTCGCACATGGATCAATCGATGATCAAATCCAGTTTAATTTCCAATTGTAGAAACATTTTCGCATTCAAATTACTCCTGAAAAAACATATATATGCAAGGCCACTTGAATTTGATTATAATTTATCCTGCGGATAAAAAAAAAAAAGAAATAAAATTGAAAGCAATGTCGTATGCATTCCTAGGATGTCAATTTCACGTACCCAATTAGAGATAAATTAAACGTACGACACACCAAAGTATTAAATCATGCATCGTAGAAAAGTTTTGGGGTACGAAGATGAAGAAGATTTAATCGTGGTCCAGCTTGGGCCTTGGGGTACGTAATTACTTGTAAGGTGTAGTAATAATAATGTGTCCCATTTTCATGGGGAGTAGGTCAGAGAATTCAATGTGTTGGGAAATTGATTTTAGTAAGAAATCAAAACGAAACTTTTCTTGTTGATTTGGGTTAACTGAATTATTGTTACCCAGACCATTTTTGAATAAGACAGATGTATACAAAATTGATGAACCACAAAAATAAACAAATGTATAAAAAAATATTTTGGGGCAACATGGGTATGTTGGCATTTGGGGTAAGGCGGGTGGACATGTTAAGGGAAGATTGATTTCAAAAGATGCGGAATTGAGGCCACATTTGGTCGTTGTATTGTGGGTGCATATATACATTAGCTGTGACATTAAAGCTAGCCAAGAAGAAAAATAATTATAACAATAAAAAAATAAAATCAAGCTTACCCTATCAAATCATAAGGTCGTCTACCTTGCAATGGGGTTTATTATCTCCAATTACGGGAAACTTGTCCCTGCCGATCGTAAAATTAAATATTAAATTTCAAATTTGGGGTCAAAAAGTCATGAGAGGATATTGCATTTTATTTGTGAATCATTTCAAAAGAACCGTGAATGGTTGAGTTGAGTCATGTACTCCTGCATGAGAGACTCAATTTCACGACAAACTCACAGTTTTGATAGGACCATATGTTGTGATCATCTCAACTGTGAATGAAGAACCATAACATGTAGTTTTAGATACTTAGTCAATATGTAGTTAGAGTAGTATACACCGTGAGACATGTAATTGTTTGATTTAGGTATGTAATTTTTTTGGTTTTTTTTTTTTTTGGGGGTACAATTTTCACCTTATCTCTATACACACTAGAAAAATAACTCTATAGAAAAGTCAACCAAGATTATGGGACTTCCACCTTATGAGGAGGAGGCATCTAACGACAACTTGCGTCTCATTTCCTAAAATGGAAACTGATCTCAGCTTCGGAAAAAAGAGAAATATTTCAACTTGCTAAAAAGGAAAAAAGAAAGAAGAAAAAAAGGCTACTACGTTATAGATGTTGATAGCTTCAACCGGTTTTTTCTTCTTCTTTTTTTTTTTTTTCTTTTGGTAGCTGCAGGGACGGACCTAGGGGGAGCAAAGGGGGTCCGTCGACCCAGCGATCCGCAAATTTTTTTTAAAAAAATACTTTATAATTTTTACATATTTTTGAGAAAAAAAAAAATTTCTAGTTATGATCGACCCTGCAAATAATCGGCTCTGGTTCCATCATTGGGTAGTTGCAACCATCTTTTAGTACAATAAAGAAAATATATATATACCTATAAACCGTAGAATTAATTATACCGTTATGTTAATAAGAAAAAACTAGACCAAGTCGTAACTTAATTACGTTTTTAATCTATCTTGGACATGCACAAAATCTAGGACTTTAGCTTTAGTCTTTGGGTTCCTATTTTGGTTATAAATACTTCCTCCGAAGATCTGCTATATCGAAGCTTTGGAAATTATTGGGCAACTTTTCTTTACTTAATGCAATTCTGCATCGCTGTACCCGTGTTTGGTGAAGAGCATTCACGAAGTTGCCCCAAAACCCAGTCAATGTGACCACAAATATTATGTTTGCACACTGAAATTACAGAAATATTATTTACAATTTTTTTTTTTCTCTTGGTCAAGTTGCTACAACTCGTCGGAAGAATGAGTCATTGTTGCCACAGATACCCAATTTACGCATTAAATGTAATTCAGCCAGGCAAAATCCTACCATCGATCCCTCCATATAGTTGGTTCGTTATCTTGGGCATCAATGGAAACGGTTATAAACAAAATCATTCGAACTCAAATTATTCAACCACAAATTTCTAAGTAGATGTGCTCAATTTCAAGAAGGAGAAAAAATTAAAAATTAGGACAATACCCTCTGTTCTAACATAAGAAATTTATTCGTTTAAGTAAAATAATGTAACAAAAAATTATTTTGAAATAAAAAGAGTAATAAATCGAATTTGATTCATGCACTTAATTATAAGTTAAAGTTGCAAACTATTCAACGCAACCCCAAAAGAAAGTTTTATAAATTAAAGTTATAAAGAAAGATATATTTCTAATGAAATGAGGATGAAGTACGAACAAATAAGTATAAGTTGTCCGTGTGCCGACTTCAAATATCATGCTCACAATCAAGTTATTACCCCAATTGTTACCAACATCCGTACTTTGGCTCGTTCTCATTATTATGCAAACATAAAAGGGTTTCATTTATGGAATTGGTCTAAGTAACTTAAACTTACCTATGTAGATATATGTAGGCCGGCCATAGGCCATTTCGTTAACTTGGTTTGGCCGTTTGGGTACAAATATCTTGACGTAATAGCGACACGTCCAAATGTTGCCACATCTTAAGGTAAATTTCAGTTGAAGCTTTTGCAATCGACCAATCATTCTAACATTTGAATTTGAATTCAACTTTCTTTCTTTCTTAAAAACAATGTACACCAAGTAAACGAAACTCTGAGTAATCCATGTATATCGAGTAACGTAGTTCACAATTTTTCCGCATGTTCGAGTTATTTTCATTACATGCAGGAATGTGAACCTTGTGCATATTTATAAGGATGTTAATTTTCGATGTCATGTAGTATTGTTATTTATACTAAAGCGTTATTGTTTAGTAACCAAAACAAAATTACTACTCTTTTGATGCATGATTTTTTTTTTTTAAAAAAAAAGACGGATATAGTATTTTTTTTTTTTAACTGTTTAGGTCAAAGCCCTGCAGAAGTGCAAAATAATGACCCCTTCAAGGCTAGGTGTCCGTATGAAATTGAAATGCCAAAGGGATGGGGAAATTAAATGTGTCTATATATATGGATATGGTACATGATGCAGTTGGATGACACCATGTGCCACTAAACTCATATGTCTCCCAGCCCCTACATTTGTAAAAGATTTGACCCAAAGACACCAAATTAAACCGCCACCAGCTCAGCTGCTCCGCCGCCCCCTTCCGAACACCACCGTTACGGTCCCCCTTTCCGAGCCATGCAAGAATTGGTTCTGCCTCG